CACCTCATGTAGTACATGTGGTGGAGCGAAATTATGTACACAGGGTCCCAGTTACGTCCAACAATAAAATGTATAAGAAAAACAGTAATAACATCTAAGATATGAACTAAGAAAAACATCAACTAAATATACACTAAGCACTCATAACATAAAACATTGAACATCAGCACAAACATGAACATGAGTCTGTGAGCAAATGTGCACGCATGAACACATCAACATTGAAACAGATCAGCAGCAACATGAAACAGATCAGCAGCAACATGATATGGTTTTTCACAGTGATTATTCTAGTTAGAGATTCATGAGTCTAACAGCCTCAGGGTAGAAGCTGTTCCTCAGTCTACTGGTTCTACACTTAATGCTCCTTAACCTCCTTCCTGAGGGGAGTGGGGCAAAAAGTGTGTGTGCTGGGTGAGTGGGGTCCTTCATGATGCAGGTGGCCCTCTTCCTGTATCTGGAGGTGTAGATGTCTGTGATGGTGGGGAGGCTGATTCCAACAGATTTCTGTGCAGCCTTCACCACTCTCTGCAAAGCTTTTCTTTCTGCAGCTGTGCAGCCTCCATGCCACACGTTGATGCTCGAGCACAGGATGCTCTCCACTGCACACCTGTAGAAGGAGGTGAGGACTGAGCTTCCCAGACCAGCTCGCCTCAGCCGTCTGAGGAAGTAGAGTCTCTGATGAGCTTTCTTGATCAGGCTGGTGGTGTTGTTGCTCCAGCTGAGGTTGTCATTCATGTGTACACCCAAGTACTTGTAGCTGGAGACCACTTCCACCGCAGATCCTCTTATGTTCAGGGGGGTGTAGGTGTTTTTGTTCCTTCTGAAGTCCACAATCATCTCTTTTGTCTTCTTCACATTGATGTGAAGGTTATTCTCTTTGCACCAGCTCTCCAGGTGTTCCACCTCTTGCCTGTAGCTGGACTCATCATTGTTTGTGATGCATCCCACCACCGCTGTATCATCTGCAAACTTTACAATGTGACTTATATAAGGTTGTTTTAAGAATTCATTATCCATTTTGAGAATATCTCTGCTCAGGCTGTATTGGGGGTAGGAGTGGTGAAGAGGTTAGAGAAGGTGGGCCTGTGATCGGAAGGTCACCGGTTTGATCCCCTGAACCAACAACATCAAAAATGTGGGTGGGAAAGGTGAAGCACCCACACCTGCCTACACCCTCATTTAGCCCACTCTGGGCCCTGAGCACCCTAGATGGCAGCTCTTTGCTCCACACAGAGGGCTGTGGTAGCTCGGTGGTCTGTGGTTGCATCAGGAAGGATATCCGGTGTAAAAATAATTTCCAAGACTTTGTGTGAGTTAGTTCGCTGTGAAGATCCCTGAAGAAGGGAGCAACCGAAAGAAGAAGAAAGCTGTGATGTTGAGCAGAAAAAGATACTGTTTAAACCTTTACACTACTGACAGAATTACAATACATTGTAGTTTTTTGTTTGTTTGTTTTATTTTATAATTTGCAGTGACGTAGAAATGTTAATTTCCTGTTGAACCAATGGAAGTGCCACATGTCGCTCCTTCTTTTATCATTCACTCCTAAAAATGACCACAAAATTTCATGTGAATGTGCAACATTGAAAACAACATAAAGATTTGCACAATAACGTTAAAGTGAACCACAGGGAAATTCAACAGCAGTTCACTTTGGTCTTGGTTGTGTTTAAATTAGTCCTCAGCTCATCAGTCTTGTTGCACATACACCCCTTTTCTATTAATTTAGGGCGTTCAAAAAACTAGCTAGGTCCGATAAAAAGTTTTTTAAAACCTTCACACATAAACCCACTTTCAAAATGATTTTTTTTCCATTAAGAATACAAACGGCTTTACTTGCTTTTCCAAAAACCTGAGATGTCTTCATTTAAATATCATCCAAAGTCACAAAATCTTTAGTTTTCACAGGATGTTGATTTCGATCATTATTATTTTTAGGAATTGTGATGTAGTTTTCTAATTTCTCCCATTGTTTTGTGCCGGCAACAGTTAAAGCGTCAAGTAAAAAGGAGATTTCAACATTTCTATTTATATGGAAGTGTGTCCCAAGGCAACAAACTGAGTGCTCAGCATGTAACTATAGATTTTGGACCAAGCACAGGAATAAATAGCAACATTAGTTTCCATACTCAGCATGGGGGATGGTACGGCTTTCCTGAATAATACTACCAGAATGATGCCACTGTTGTGTTGAATAAATAAACATAATTCATGCACCCTGAAGATGCCCCCAGCGAAGGACAAACAACCATATGCTTAAAACAGCTGGCAAGTAGCTCATCAGCCCATCAGCAAACACCACAACCCTCAAACCAAATGACACAATGTGCAAGATGCAAACAAAGCCCACAACTCTTCTCCTTTCATGCTCATAACTGTGAGGATTTATCTGTTTTGTGTCCTGTGACTACTTTTGTTTTTCTGCTCTCCCTCCTGTTTGCACTTTGATAACAGTCTATCTGTTTTAAATTGTGCTCTATAAATAAATATGACTTGACTTGACTTGACTGTTGTCAACTCCTCCTGCACTTGTCCGTCATTGTCCACTCACAGGTGTTTGTAAATTTTTCATTGTTTGTGTCCCTTTATATTCTATGTCTCTGTGTTCCCTCGTTGTCTGGGCATTAATCCTGTTCCAAGCATCATGTTCTGTCTCCCTCCATGTTCCCAGTAAGTTTTGCTTTCTCGTCAGTCTCTTTTGTTTTCCTTAATAAATAATATTTTACCCTAGAGTTTCCCGAGCGTCAGTCTGCACTTTGGGTTCAATCCACCACCAGCTTCTGACAGAATGCCCAGACCAACACTGAACCCAGCAGGCTGCCCGTTCCTTGTGGACCTCGCCCTGGAAGATGAATAGCGGCTGCGCAAGGTAACACGGAGATTCACTGACACTGTGGTCACCTCCAACAACCTGTGGGCAAGATGGGTCACAACGGAGGAATTTTTGGTCAAGTTCCCTTGGCTTCCAGGACTGGTAGATTCCCCAGGGATGCTGCAGCTACTTGATGAGACACTGGAGGAGTGACGCGTGCTGTGCGTTTTTAGCCAGTCAACCATAGACACCAGAACCCTCTGTCCATCACCGGAGGGATCGGCTCCCCCTTTGGTTCCACCCTCAATTCCAGCTGGCCGTCATAGGAAGAGCAAACAGTGGACCCAGTTCTGGTCCTGTGCACCGCCAGCATGTCCTGTGTCGCCGTCAGTGTATCCTGTGCCACTGCCAGTGTGTTCTGCACTACCACCAGGGCATCCTGCGCTGCCGCCAGCATGTCCACTTTTAGCTTTTGTTTAATACTTTCCAGTTCCATTATGTCGCTTGTTGTGGGTCAATTGCAAATCCTCAGATGTGTGACAAAAGGAGGGTTGGTGGGGCCACATGCACAATTGCTGCACAATTGTTGCACAATGTGCCAGCGCTACTCTCTTTTCATAGTCTGATTAATTGCTGCACTCTATTTTAGTTCTTTCTCATCCTCAACATATAAACTTACTGCCTCCTCTTCAACAAATAGATTAACACAATTTTATTTTGTGCATTCTTATTTGGTTTTCTTTGTGCTGTATAATTTATAAAACCACATCGAAAGCCAGAGACCAACCTGGCCTGCCCATCAAGCACATAATTTTGGCCCGACCTGGTCCAAATTTTGGGTCGGGTTGGGCTGGGGACCAGGGCCGAAAATCACAGCTCTAGTCCAGGAGGATGCCTCTCACTCTTCTTCTTCATCTCCCATGGGTCCAGAGTCTCCTGTGGATCCAGAATATCCTGTGGGGCAAGAGTCTCCTTTGGGTCCAGAGTCTCCTGTGGGTCCAGAGCCTTCAGTGGTTCTCGAATCTCCTGTGGTTCCCGAGTCTCCCAAGGTTCCCACATCCCAAGAGGGTCCCACATCTCCAGAGGGTTCCACATATACTGAGGGTTCCACACCCTCTCCAGTCCCTATGGTATCTACACCCACTGCAGTCCCTGTGGTAGCTACGCTCACTGTAGTCCCTGTGGTAGCTATGCTCACTATAGTCCCTGTGGTAGCTACGCTCACTGTAGTCCCTGTGGTAGCTACACTCACTGTAGTCCCTGTGGTAACTATGCCCACTGTAGTGGGGTAGCTACTGCGCTCTCTTTGCCTGCTGTAGAGCTGCTGGTCCTTTCACCTGCTGTAGAACTGCCAGTTCTACCTGCAGTTCTTCTGGTTCCATCACTAATCAGACTCATCTCCATCTGCGGCTCTTCTTCCTGGGTCACCTGCAGCAGCAGCACTTCCAGTGATCTCTTATTCTGCCGTCACAGCATCTCCAGTGGTCTCTTCGTCTGCCCCTGTAGTGTCTCCGGTAGTATCTGAGTGACTCTCTGTGGTCTCAGCCTAAACTTTTGACTTGCTCCGGACTGTCTCCTGGCCATCTGCCTGAACTGTTGCCCCGTGCTGGATAGTCTCCTAGCCGCCCACCTGATCTCGTGCTTCATTCTAAAAGGTCGCCCAAACTTTTGGGGTGCAGGTGCCCTCTATCCTTTCATTTCCCCCTCTTCCCACTTGAGTTGTGTATAATGGTGTAATGGAGGTGAACAGAATTATTAGGTACATTGTGCATCCAAAGGTCTCAATTATGTATAACATTTATTCCACATTTGATGTACATGTCATGGAATTATGAGAAAGCTTACTTTTTGGGAGGAACCTGGCCCACATTGACACGGACACAGATGACTTTGCGAGTCTGCATTCCCACTGAACATGATACATCATGGCCACGTATTCGGCCTACAGATGTGTTGCTGGATGGGATGGAGGAATCCTCGATGCATTGGCCCCAAGGACCAGTTTGCCAGTGGTACACAGTGCAAGGGTGCTCATTGCAGCTCCTGACTTCTTGCAGGGTGCTGATGTTGGGACACTGGACTCCTCCTGAGGAACAGAAGAAAAGTGTGAGTGATGTGAGTGAAGTACTGACAAACATCTAGACTCGGATCTGGCATGAGAGCTTCATATAAGGGTGTTAAAGATATGAGATCAAAGTTTAAAACAACACTTCATATTTGTTGTGTTTTACTATAAACATTTTGATTCATACAAGTCTTGTTCTTAACATAACCATCAACCACATTTAAACTTGGTTTTAAAACTACTGCATCTAAATGTGCTACTGACTTCATATTCTTCATGACTGCTCTGCTCTTCTGTCTAAACAGGAAGGTAAAAAAAAAAAATCAAATGTAATTTAAAGAAAATGTGAATATTTAGTAATACGTTGTTGTTGTTTCTGTTACCAGAACGTTTGCTTCCATCTGTCATTAAGTTAAGCATGGCAGCGATGGGGCACTTGACTTTGTTCCAAAAATGTTTTCTTCTGTAAAAGTGAAACACTCAATCCCAAAACTGTCAGTCAAATGGAAAACTTCAACTCCCAACGTGAGCAGAAAATATTGAGGTAAACTGCCTGTCGATAAAAATTAAGCTCATGGTGAATTATATGTTCATAATGTCTTCAGACTTTCTAAAGTTAAATTAAAAACTAATCTCCACACACACGATTAAACAAAAATAGGCTTGTTTTCTTCAATTTCATTGAAAATAAAATTTATATTTAAAAAAGATGATCACAAATTGGTTTAAATTTGTCCTGAGTACAGGGAAAAGCTGACATACTGATGGAAATACAGGGACTGTCAAGCAAAATATGATATTATTTAAGCAGCAGCAGTAATAGTTTTTGCACTTTTATGATTAAATAAAAGCACAAAAATTGTGTTTATTGTTTTTCTTCATTATAATCATGTCATGAAACTGTGATATTTTTGCTCAACGTTATCATTCAAGAAAATATCCTGTTGGCCCATATTAATTAACACGTGTGTCGCTCATCAGTCGTCTGGGTCCTAAATACAAAACAGTCAATAAGTACTGGTAGTAAATGGCTGCAACCGGAAGCCATATAAACAAAGGATAAGTTATTTCCCATCCATCGTTTGATGTCACTGCTCTAAAGCTTTGACTACCAGTAATCTCATAAAAATAAATCAAAAGCAGAACAGTGGTGTCCAGAAGTCAGAGGAGAGATGTTCAAACAAAAGTCAAAGCAGCAAAATACGAATTCAGTTTTCCTACTAAAACAGCACATCTGTCTTGCTCTGTTGTTTCCTCACATCTGGTGAGAATGATTGAGACTGGCAGCTTTATCAGTCATATTTAACCCAAGAGACTGGATCATTGCAACACCATTTACATTTATTTGGCTCAGCTTAGGTATGGAGGATTAAACATATATATTAAAGAAAATGGTTTGAGGTTTCTTGTTTGTTTTCCTAATAAAATGTAAAAAGTTTTGTCCAAGCAGCAGATTGATAGAAAACATATTCTACTACCATCTACCCAAGAGTTTGACGACTACTGTACAAACTACAGCAAGTTTCTAAGAACATCAAGTAATGAAAATACCAAATACTGGCTGAATCAGTGACAGCAATGAAGGACCTAGAACAAAGCATAGAAAACACAAAAGAGTTGTCTCACAGCCAGTAATTTGTAGAATAAAGTAAGCCTTGGAGGATGAGCTTCTTACCCTGCATGACAGAAACCCATGCCACAACTTTAGCAGTTACTGCACACAAAGACACAACAAACATTCACATGCAGGAGAAACAAAACATCTGCTTAAAAACATTTAGCTAAAAATAATCTCATAATGTTTTTTTTTTTTTTTCCCTGTTCTTCAGTCGTTCTGCATGACGGAGCAAGGACCAATAACTTAAACTCCTCACAGTTTGTACTTTATGTTCCAGTTTGATGGCTCAATATTTCCCCTTCATTGATCCACACTCAATATTCCACAATGATGAAAAGGAACATCATTTTAGACTATTTAAAAAATATATTGAAAAACAAAATGTGAAATATGACACTAGCCCATGTGTCCAGTGGTGGTGTTGTTTGAACTGATGAAATAAGAAATATATCCAATAAATCACATATTAACCATCCATCCATCCATCCATCCATCCATCCATCCATCCATCCATCCATCCATCCATCCATCCATCCATCCATCATCTTTAACCACTTCTTTATTTTTGGGTTGCGAGGGTCGCCGGTGCCCATATCCAACTATCACTGTGCGAGAGGCCTGTTACACGCTGGACATGTGTCCAGTCCATCACAGATGTATGTATCATGTGAATCAGTAATATCCAGGGAGTGTAGTGATATAATCCATTAAATGTTTTGACTTACGGTTTAGAAATTGCAAAGTCTGCATTTATAGCGCCCACTACAGGTGGACATGTCTGAGTTTTTCTCTGCCGAACATGCAAGCCATCGCTACTACCTCACCATTTTCATCCTATTGCTGCTTGCTGTTTGGCTGCAGTATGACATTTATTTTTATGGAAGAAAAATCAATATAACCGTTTTAATAGGATTTCATGCTCCAGATGTAGGAGCATGGAGACGTCGCTGCATTGCAGCTGTGTTCCCCTTCCTCCATTGGCTTGGACCACAAGGCCTTGTCTTGTCAGTGTCCACTGACAGGTTTTCAGACAAGTTTTTTATAAATGCACAGCAGAACTTTCAGTTGGGCCGCAGTGATACTGCCCAGATTCCCCATAAAATACATATATGATGATGTAACATGCAATGATGATGACACATAGCACTAAGGTTGTGAACGCAGTTACTGATGTTCGTGAATATCTCCGTTGGGTCAATATCATTGATCTTATCAGATAATTGTTCATTAGTTCAAACGTTCCCATCAATTATTCTAAGTAGATCTGTCTAATTTAATTAATGTGCTTGATGCTTGCGGTTTTCTGGTACAACATAGATTTCCTACCTTCTCCTGCATTATAGGCCAGAATGGCACGCGCACGAGTCTGCCTCCCCTCTGAGTTCTTCCCGGAGCAGGTATGAGAGCAGAGGGACCAGGAAGTCCAGGGGCTCAGGGCACAGTCCTTTGGGCAAGGCACCTCACAGACAGTGGGCATTGGAAGGATGGCATCACGGCAAAGTTGTTTCTCCACAGTTTCACCTGAATTAAAAAAGAGGCAAATTTAGATTATTAATCAAATGTTTTAATGCAAGAATTACAGCTAAGAGGCCAAGAGTGCACAACTACATGTTGGGGTCACTCAAAACAACAACAACAACAACAAAACGTGAGAAAGACGTCTCCCCATTAGTATTAAGGTTAATTAAAAAATTAAAGTCAAAATGTTCAGCTTAAGTCACGTGTTGTTAAATGAACATGAACTGTTAAAAATAGTGTTTTTTCAGAAATAAAGTCAAAAAAGTTTTTTTGTTTTTTTTTCTAGGATAAAGGTTTTTTTAATTTTAACAGATGGATCAAAGTACAAACTTTCATTGACCAGATGTTTGGTGTAAACACTGATTTCATACGACAGAATATATATATTTTAAATAGGGATTATTTTACCACGGATATCACAACTTACATCTGTAGCTGACCAAACTTCAGTTTAATCTGCAGAATGAATTGTACTGAAGAACAGCAAAAAATAAGCCATTTTTAAATGCTCCAAAATGTTTCGGAGTATTATGAGGTCAACAGTAACATTCATGTGTAGAATAAAAGATTCAAAGGTGTCCTCTGAGTCGGAGAACATCTTGTTCAACAGTGTTTAACTAATAAAAGTGCTTCCATAACTGTCGACTATAGCAAAATTAAAAAAGAGCAGAAGAAATAAGATGTCTGTTTTAATCAGAATGTACAGTAGTTCACTTGTTTGAACTTTATCAGTGTGCTTTTCTACCTAACGCACATCTTTTGCTCTGCAAAGGCATATACTGTACTATATCCATATATGACCAGTATTGTAAACTTCATTATGCTTCACAATGCGCACTGATTTGACATGATGTCTTAATGAATCTGCTTTCACTTTACAAAAGTGACATGAATCAAGAAACATATACCGTATTTTTCTGACTATATGGCAAAAATCGACAGTGAGCCTTATTATCCAGCACGCCTTATGTATTAGTTCTGTTTGTGCTTACTGACCTAGAACACATTTTATGTGGTTATTGTGAATGAGTTGAATAAAGTTTGACGTATCTGACTGTTTTGTTTCACTTAATTCTCCTTATAATCTGGTGCACCTTATGTATGAAAACAGACCCGTTCATTGATATTGCACTTTATCATCTGAAAAATACGTTAGGAGTCTTTTATATGGACTTATATTTTGTATAAACTCTGTCTACACTTTGCTGTATGTTTTTTTAGACAAGCACATTGCTCTTTGTTCATATTTGATATATTTATTATTTGTGGGTAATATTATTATGTCATGTTATTTGATTTGCTCCATCCACACATTCTAATGTAAAAACCCAGGTTGCATCCAGAGAACGTCCAGTCAATCACATCTCAATATACAGACAGATAAAATGCTACAAGGTAAAAATTCTCTCAAAATAATTGTAGCTTTTTGATTCCTGAGAACAGTTTCCCCTCAAGTACTAACATTTCAGCACATTATCAAATTTTTATGGAAATATGAAGAGGCTAATGTTTCCAACTCCTCTGGGTATCATAAAACTCGTGGCTTCATCATCGTTTCTGAAATGCCCCTCTATTCCGAGTCTCAACTTAACATTTAGCAAAAAAAAAAAACAACTTTTTTTTCCTGTATTTTCACTTTGGAAAATGTTTTTTTAAATATTTTATTTTTCTCAGCAAAGCTTCGGTGAGCACATGCACAGGAGAACCAAACAGCAAAAAAATCTTCATTTTTAACGATAGTGAGATTCAGAATGTGAACGAAGCTAACACAGTAATGTAAGATAATAAATTTTGAATTAAGCTCTGAGTCACTGCAGGGTCTGACATTAAGTTTAAACCAACACAATCTGTACTGACTGTCCTTAATAGACACCTTAAGTGTATATCTGTTTCTTTAAGGATTGTTGTTGGGGTTTTTTAGCTAAATGTTCCATATTGATCATCTGGAAGCGGTCCTCACTCGCTTCATTCCATTGAATTGTAACTCATCCTTTCACTGAAAAGCCATATGTGTGAAAAGCTCATTGAAGGATTGGCAAGCAGCAAATCTAATGACATGTCTCAGACCCTTGGGGAAAGAACAGATCAATTTCCATCAGAAGGACACAACAAGAAATCAATACCAGGCCCGCTAAGAACAGCTCTGAGTGCTGACGAGTGAAGATATATCAAACTTTGAGAGGGTTAATCAAGGACTTCCTATTGAAATATGCTGGGGCAAACATTTAGGTATCTGGATGACACTGATAGCTTCCATGCCTTTTGTTTGTGGTCATGCCTTTGGCTCGATGCTCCCAGCAGTCTAGATAGGAGCAGCTGTGGATTAGTGGTCAGAGTGGTTGTCTTCTAGACCAAAGGTCAGCCATTTAATCTCAACCATTTCCAAGTACGTGAGTGTTTTCAATTTAAATCCACCAGCAAGGAATCATTGAAATTCAAGTGTCCAAAGACTTGTAAACAAAACCATGAACAGTAATTTTATAAGAAGCAAAATGACCTTCCATCCATCCATCCATCCATCTCTCCATCCATCCATCCATCCATCCATTACCTTTACCCTCTTCTTCCTTTTTTGGGGGGGCAGGGGTCATTGATGCCCGTGTCCAGCTGTCACTGTGCAAGAGGCGGGGGACACCATGGACAGGTCATAAGTCCATCTCAGGGCCACATAGAGACAAACAACCATTCACTCTCTCACTCACATCTAGAGATAATTTAAGTTACCACTCAGCCTAACATGCATGTTTTTGGTCTGTGGGAGGAAACTGGAGTACAGGGAGAAAACCCACACATGCACAGAGAGAACATGCAAACTCCACCCAGAAATATCCCCAGACCAGGATTTGAACTGTGATAACCTGCTTGCTGAGAAGCAACAGCTCTACCGACTACTCCACCATGATGTCCTCAAAAAGACACATCAATGTAAAATAGAAATTGTGTATTTTTAACATTGTACACATCAGAAAGTCTTGATCTCTGTCTGGAGCTCTGGCTGTGGAAATGTAGCAGATGGAAGCTTGACATCTCCCTTACTTCAAGCTGCCACATCCGGATAAGATTACCTCACACACATTCAGAGTTAATGGCAGAAAATGCAGACTGAACCCAAGACATCTTTGAGGCTGTGTTAATTTAATTTACCAATGCGTCTGTTCCAGCAGGGAGTCCACACCTCTTAGGCTGAGTGCCTCTCATAAGATGGATGGAACTGCCAGGATGAGGTCACTTTCAGGATATTTTCTTTCATCCAAGAAACAAGAATGATTTGCCTGATTATGTAGTCATTGGAAAGCTGAAAAAGATCCAGATTGTAAATTGTGGCGGAATAGAAGTCATAAATGCTTTAGAGTTAGCCAGCGCTCGCCCAGATCTTTAAGTGATGTATCACGCAGTTGTTCAAATTTATTAAAAAGAAGCTGACTAAAATCTAAATACAAAATGTTTGATCAAATACATTGTTTTATTTTCTTACTTGACTGTTAGCTAACAGAGGTTCATTCTTAAAATGAGTTTCTGGCTAAATAACCTCAAAATGACTCTAAAATGATAAATAGCTGTAAAAGCTTTAGAAAAGATTTGGCTGTACATTTGACCACAGTGGAGGTCTTTAAGGACTCACATTTTAATTGTGTGTGTGTTGGTGGTGGTGGTGGTGGGGGGGCTTTTATTTGTTTTAATTGTAAAGATATTTCAAGAATCACGTAAATTATTTTCTTTAAACTTTCAGAGTATTCTATACTAACAAGCACCTATTGAATTTTATGTATATTGAGTTAAAGTTTATTGTGATAGAGTCATAGTCGGATAGAATAGATAACTATTAATAAAACAGTTGTCTCGTTTGTCTCTATGTGTCCCTCTGATGGACTTGCGACCTGTCCAAGGTGTCCCTCGCCTCTCACACAATGATTGCTGGACATGGGCACCAGTGACACCGTGACCCGAAAAGGACGAAGCAGATAAATATAATGGATTAATGGATGATGATCGAATGTCACCAACACAAGGCTCTTTTATAAAACAGTTCCACAACATGGCCATAAAGACCAGTTTGACTCGATGCTGCCTCTGGATGTTCATATCTCACAGACGGAGCCATGATCCACACACATGTGAAATGTTAGATGTGAAGTGTGTGAAGTGAAGCAAGTATTGTGGAAACAATAAGTGTAATTTAGCTGTGTTGACATGTAATAAGATAAGATAAGACAGAAATTTATTGATCCTTTCGGAAATTGTTGATAATTGTTGTTTAATAATGTCTCCTTTGTATTGTTTCCAAAATACTTGTTACCTCCATTTAAAGGTTCCCTTCATTTTAATTAATATTTTCAACTAATTACAAAGTTGCTGTGTGTCATCCTCCATCTTCTTTTGGTAAAAGATCAGTTTATTATTGCTAACCCGGTGGTCACACGGCAATATGTCAACACTTCATCACATTACTGAGATACCTTTCCACATTTCGACCTCTCTCCCTAACTCGTTCTGCAGCTCAGAGACAAATCAGAGCTGATGTGTCTTCAACCCCCTCACTGCCACTGTCTGCTCAGAAAATCTGTTGACGTGGTCAGAACGTATCCAATGTTTGAATAAAAGAGCCAACATATTTTAGGCACAACACTTTTTGGGACAGTTGTGGCTGAGTAGTTAGAGCAGTCGTCCTCCAATGAGAGAGTTCAGGGTTTGCATCCACCAGCAGTCACATGCTGAAGTGTCCCTGGGCAAGACACTGAACCCCTCATTGCCTCCGATGTGTGTCCCATCTGTGGATGAATGTGATCTAAAAGCACTGATTAGTCTCTACAGATTCAGATTAGCTTTGTAGAGATCTAGTAGAGTGCTGTATGAATGTGTAAATGACGTACAGATTGTAGTGTTAAGAGCTTTGAGTATCTTGATAAGATAGAAAGGTGCTACATGTGCAGTCCATTTACTCTTTATCTTTGTCTAAACCCTTTATACTAGGCTGTTTGTGGACAGTCTGTCTTGATGCTTCTGAGCACAAAACTTTCTAAGAATAGAGGCTCGGTTTATTTTAATATGGAAACACATCAGCAACCCCCAACTCTGTCTGCTTTCTGAGCTCCCCAGGGCCCTCATTAACACACACACACCCATCCACACCCCATCACACACACACATTTTTCTTTGTTTAGGGAAGATATAAAGAATCAATGATTAGAGGAAAATAATAGATAGATAGATAGATAGATAGATAGATAGATAGATAGATAGATAGATAGATAGATAGATAGATAGATAGATAGATAGATAGATAGATAGATAGATAGATAGATAGATAGATAGAAAGTATATATATATATATATATATGTATATATATATATTGTTGTTTGTGTCCCTGTGATGGACTTGCGACCCGTCCAAGGTGTATCCCGCCCCCCGCACAGTGATTGCCGGATATTGGCCCCAGTGACCCCCGTGACCCAAAATGGAAGAAGCGGGTAAAAGATAATGGATGGATGGTTCCTTGCTTTAGTGATGTTATGCAGTGCCCTAACATCCCACATTTCTATTGGTGGTTTCTAGGTGTGACATCATTATGATGGCATTAAGAGGTGGATAAATTTAGACAGGACACAAATGAAGTTATAAAATGAACGGCTGACCACTGACAGTTTCATGTCTACTCACCATCACTGTTGATACACTGGACTTGGGGAATTTGTGTTCCAGGTCCACATTCTTTGTCATTATCAGGAATACACGCCTCCAGTTGGACCACCAGCCACTCGTAGCAGCTGGGGTCTTCACATGGTATGGCCTCCACCAGATGAGGGCAGTTCCCTGTCCCGTCTGTGGGCTCATTGATGATCCCTCGCTTCCTCAGTTTGAAACCTGCCAAAAACAAATCACCAAACCAGCATAAGATGAAAACATCAGGACCCTTATTTATAACACTTGTTTCAAGGGATTAACGAGACATTTGTGGTATATTTAGTTATTTTTAAACATTTATACTTTGTCTTTTTTTTAATAAAATTATCCTCACCAAAAAACATTGAGATCTCAATTTATTCATAAATGTTGTCCTTTTTTTATTCTGCTCCATTATATTTGCTTATTGGCCCTGGGATGGACTTGCGACCGTTCCAGGGTGTACCCCGCCCCTCGCACAGTGATTGCTGGACATGGGCACCGGCGACCCCCGTGACCCAAAATGGAAGAAGCGGGTAAAGATAATGGATGAATGGATGGATATTTGCTTATTGTTGTCTTTTTCTAATGCCACTTGCAGCTTTCAACAAACCCATTTAGCTTTTCTTCTGCTACTTTTAGCTTCTATGCAGACTTTTTTTTACCTTGAGCTTTTTTCTACTAGTTCAATACTTTAGCATTTACTGAGTATTTTGTTACATTAACTTATACTTTTGCTACAGTTAGCTTTTATCTAACTTTTTATGTATTTTAGCTAGCATTTTGCAACTTCTAACTTCTAGCTATTGTTTTGCTACTTAAGGTTTTAACTAGTGTCCTGTTTATAGCTTTAATGTCTCAGTTTCAGCTTCTACAACAGTTTTCAGCAGTTCAGCACCCATCATTCACAGTGTTTTCACAGGAAATGCTAATTCTTTAGTTGCATTCTTCCTATTTCAATCAACGTCTCCTTTAACAGTTTTTGGGGGAAACATACACAGGATATATCAAAACTTGTGTCTCAATCAGAAAATGCATATTGACTTTTAATAGGAAAACATTGTACAACATAGACGAAGTTAGGAAAAAAACTTTTCTCTTTTTTTGGGGCAAATCAAGTTATAAAACCCAACCCTCACTGGAGCTCTAAAGCTCAGTCATACTTCCCAGTAGAAAGTTTAAAATTTAACAGATCACAATAAGGTGGACGTTACATGACGGAACTAGCATTTCAAAATCTGTAGAAGTTTTATATCTAATGATAGTTTAGGTTTTATGAGTTTTCAAGATTTCACCAACTGCGACTGTGACTTTGCCTAAACGATATATTATTTTGCTAAAAACTCTTTTTAGTCTATGTGCACATCGTATTCAGATTATTTATCGGTTTATCTATTTATTATTTAGCACCAATGCTTAATTTAAGACGGATCCTGCTGGAATAGTATCCGGGAACTCTCTTATTTTGACAGGGTGCGTTCTGGTAAGTGTTTGGTCAGATCCGGCTTGGATCCGATAACTGTCAGGCTTACTAATAATAAAGTTACGAACAAATATGACTGCCTGGAATGAATAAAACTTATCTTGGATATGTAAACCTAAAAAAAATTCATAAACACTCATTTTAAACATAACATCCACTAACATACAATCTACTTCTTCAAGCAGCATTTCCGTGTCTACGTAAAAAAAATATCCGCCCTTAAAAGAGTGGTGGGAGTGAGTGCCGAGCTAACCAGGCAATGGTACGTAAGCAGGATCCCACTGACAGTTCCGTCAAGAAAGGGGGAGGGGGGGATGCTTGATGGAAGCAGTGTGTTTACAAATGTAAGTAAACTTGGATGTTCAACAACCCATTAAAATACATCAAAATGCTGGAAATCATATCTACTTTATTCAAAATTTTGCCGGCCCGCCCACTATTTGCATTCCATCATCAGCTGGTTTACAAATTAAGTCCTGTTTAGCACCCACTCCATCTCAATGCTATGAAATTTATGATTTTCTCTCCATTTTGTCCAGAGCGCAAACAATCAAAGTTTCATTGACTTCCGGTAGGTCTGAATCCAACTTTGATATCCTACAGAAACCAGAGGCAAACAGTGAATGGTTTTCATCTTGGATATCTTGACGTTGCAACCTGGATTGCACATGTTATAAAGTCACATTTTAATTTTGTCAGCTCACTATTTGTTTCAAAGTTGTGATGCTCGCTTCATAAAAACTGCTCATCCAAATTTTGCACAATTTATTTTCCAAAGGCTGAATGTTTGCAAACAAAATGACCAGGAGAGTTAGCCTGCCTTTGCTAACAAGATAGCAACGCTTCTGGTTCTGGTTAGATACCCCCCCAATATATCAGAGCATAGACTTATCTTATGCCACCCCTGTCAAATTAGAAAGCAAATGAGGAGGGGAGTGACAAATATGTATATGACAGTAGCTATCTTGGATTTTGACACAGCAACCTTTTACGCCTGTGAAGGTACACACACAAATGGAAGTTGGCAAATTGCATATTTCTCAAGTTATCCAGCTCACAAGATGGACAGACATTTATGGCAGAAACCAATGTAGATTTAGACATGGCGTAAACAATATATGATTGGTACAGACAACTCCCCCCACTCATTCCCCCTTTTTGAAGAGGGGAACCGCTACCCAAGTCTGCCAAATCCAGTGGCACTGCCCTCAATGTCCACACAACGTTGCAAATGTGTGTCAACCCAGACAGGCCCACAAGATCCAGAGCCTCAAGGAAATCAGGATGCATCTAATCCACCCCTGGAGCCCTGCCACCATGGGGCTTTATAACTACCTCAGCGACCTCAGCCCTTGTTATGGATTGACCAAGCCACAAGTCCCATTACTCACATTCATTCATGGAATAATTTATGGTGGGATTGAGAAAGTCTAAGAAAAGTTCCTTCCAGCACTCAACAACAGCACTGGTTGAGGTCAACATTATCCCATCTTCACTATACACAGTGTTGGTAAAGTATTCTCCTCAACCCAGCCACCTGATTGTTGCCAGAATCTTCTCAAAGATAACTGAGGGTATCTGTCCAAGACCTCACTAAACTCCTCCCACATACAAGCTTTTGCCTCAGCCCACTTGGCTCACCAATATCACTCAGCTGCTGCCAGAGTCCTATCCGGCCAAAAAGTCTTGGTAGGACTTTTTCTTCAGCTTGACGACCCCACCTACTTGGAGTGTCCACCACCAAATTTGAAGACCTTCACCACGAGAAGCACCAAATACCTTGTGTCTGTCGTCTTGACAATGGAAGCATGAAAAATGGCCCACTCAAACTCTATGTTCACCACCTCGGCTGGGATGTGGTTAAGTGTTGAGTTGAAGATCTTTTTCACAGGTTATTTTGCCAGGCATTCCCATGTAGCATCCATCCAACAGCCTTAGAGACAGAATGTTCTGAGAGACACTGCATCTCTCCTACCCATCCCTTTCTGTTAATCTGAAGACAGATACTGGCATTCTGTTCTGACACAGGAAGTTTCATTTTACCCACTTTCTGTGTGCTAATCTCCCAAGTCAGGATGAATCTACAGTTCTGGACCAACCCGACGTACTGTATGATTATTACCCTCTTTCCTGAAAGACAACTCCAGGGCCTTCTAAAAAAATTAGCATATTGTGATAAAGGTCATTATTTTCCATAATGTAATGATAAAAATTAAATTTTCATATATTTCAGATTCATTGCACATCAACTGAAATATTTCAGGTCTTTAATTGTTTTAATACTGATGATTATGGCATACAGCTCATGAAAACCCAAAATGCCTGTCCCCAAAAATTAGCATATGTCTTCCCACCAATGAAAGACAAGTGTTTTTAATACAAAAAACGCCAACCTTCAAATAATCATGTTCAGTTATGCACTCAATACTTGGTCAGGAATCCTTTTGCAGGAATGACTGCTTCAATGCGGCGTGGCATGGAGGCAATCAGCCTGTGGCACTGCTGAGGTGTTATGGAGGCCCATGATGCTTCGATAGCGGCCTTAAGCTCATCCAGAGTGTTGGGTCTTGCGTCTCTCAACTTTCTCTTCACAATATCCCACAGGTTCTCTATGGAGTTCAGGTCAGAGAGTTGGCAGGCCAATTGAGCACAGTAATACCATGGTCAGTAAACCATTTACCAGTGGTTTTGGCACTGTGAACAGGTGCCAGGTCGTGCTGAAAAATGAAATCTTCATCTCCATAAAGCTTTTCAGCAGATGGAAGCATGAAGTGCTCCAAAATCTCCTGATAGCTAGCTGCATTGACCCTGCCCTTGATAAAACACAGTGGACCAACACCAGCAGCTGACATGGCACCCCAGACCATCACTGACTGTGGGTGCTTCATACTGGACTTCTAGCATTTTGGCATTTCCTTCTCCCCAGTCTTCCTCCAGACTCTGGCACTGTGATTTCCGAATGACATGCAAAATTTGCTTTCATCCGAAAAAAGTTCTTTGGACCAATGAGCAACAGTCCAGTGCTGCTTCTCTGTATCCCAGGTCAGGCGCTTCTGCCGCTGTTTCTGGTTCAAAAGTGGCTTGACCTGGGTAATGCGGCACCTGTAGCCCATTTCCTGCACACGCCCGTGCACGGTGGCTCTGGATGTTTCTACTCCAGACTCAGTCCACTGCTTCTGCAGGTCCCCCAAGGTCTGGAATTGGCCCTTCTCCACAATCCTCCTCGGGGTCCGGTCACCTCTTCTCGTTGTGCAGCGTTTTCTGCCACACTTTTCCCTTCCCACAGACTTCCCACTGAGGTGCCTTGATACAGCACTCTGGGAACAGCCTATTAGTTCAGCAATTTCTTTCTGTGTCTTACCGTCCTGCTTGAGGGTGTCAATGATGGCCTTCTGGACAGCAGTCAGGTCAGCAGTCTTACCCATGATTGCGGTTTTGAGTAATGAACAAGGCTGGGAGTTTTTAAAAGCCTCAGGAATATTTTGCAGGTGTTTAGAGTTACGTCATTGATTCAGATGGTTAGGTTAATAGCTTGTTTAGAGAACCTTTTCATGATATGCTAATTTTTTGGGACAGGCATTTTGGGTTTTCATGAGCTGTATGCCATAATCATCAGTATTAAAACAATTAAAGACCTGAAATATTTCAGTTGGTGTGCAATGAATCTGAAATATATGAAAGTTTCATTTTTATCATTACATTATGGAAAATAATGACC